CTGGGCAGGTTAAAGTAAAACGTTCTAAAGGGACCGTTGATAGAACGGTGCTGAGGCGCAAGTCACGTGATGTAGTTCTACAACAAGGCTCGTGAGAGTCTTGATATGGTTACATCGAACACTTGAAATGGAGTTTAAGATGAAATAAACAGATTTACCATCCATTGGAGGAATTTTCCCATTGTTTGGACTTGACGGGTCGATGAAACTGAAGTATATGCGGACTCTTCGAATGTCCGTTAGAACATAGTTAACGATGGTTGGAACGAATAAATGTACGCTTGATTACGCTGTTAATGAATATTGGCTATAAAACATTCCTCTATGGAAGAACAGCGCAACAAAGTGAAAAGTAATAAAGCAAAAGTTAAGGAAAAAATGTCTGTTATAAATTCCTGTTCTGTTCTAATTTGCCCAGTCATAAAACAACCACAAAACACAAAACTATGTGCATGGAGGTTAGTCTATGGTATTGGTCAAAATTTTGAAATTTAGTCATATTTTTTTAAGACAGAGAGTCCAAGAAAGCGATTGGTTGCGTTCTACATAGAAAACTACCCTTTAAGACTATAAAAACATGGACTTTAAAAGTCGAAAAATTTGCCTTTTTCCACAGGGGTTAGTCCATGTTTTTGGTCAAAAGTTTAAGATTTGTTTATCCTTTGTCTTGAGGCCAAATGGGCCAAGAAGATGTGTTTGGTGGCGTTCTACATAGCAAACTACCCTTTTTAGACTTCAAAAACATCGATTTCAAATGGTTGAAAAATTTGCATTTTTTCAAAGGGGTTTGTTCATGGTTGTGGTCAAAGTTTTGCAATTTCTTTATCCATTCCTGTTAGGCCAAAGAAGCCAAGAGAAAGTGTTTGGTAACTTTCTAGAAAGACAACTAGCCTTTTGAGACTGTAACAACATCGATTTCAAAAATTCGCAAATTTTCCCTTTTTCCATGGTTAGGGTTAAAGCTAGGGGTTAGGGTTAGTGGTTAGGCTTAGAGTTAAGGTTAGTGTTAGGTCAGGGGTTAGGGTTAGGGTTAGGGTTTGGGGCTAGGGTTAGGGTTATGGTAAGGGTTTAGGGTTGGGGTTAGGGTTAGGGGTTAGGGTTAGGGTCAAAACTTTGAGAGTTTTTTATAATTTCTCGTAAGGCCCAACAGGCCAAGATGTAAAGTAAAGTAAAACTTTTTTTACACAAGGTAGCCCATTCAGGTCTAAGGCTTGTCTCCATAGGGGCCCTGTATCTTAAAAAATTAATTTACATCAAGAATTTGTATGACTTGTTTTATTTAAAAAGCCTGATAAAAATACAATTATAGATTTTAAGAACTACATTAAAAAGCCCAAACATACAATGAAAAATCACATTTAAAGCTTAAAATTTCAAAAAATATCAAAGTTATGATAAAAAGAAATGTCTTGCTCGGCGGCAGAAGGTTTGAATGTTTTCACTCTTCACAATGTTTAAAGGGAGTTTGTTAAAAGTTTTTGCGCCAGTAAAAAGAAAAGTCCTTTTACCCAAATTCTGTTTAACGTTTGGTAAGGATAGCCTCATACTTTGCCGTGTGGAATAATTGTGAATGTTCGAAAATCTAGTAAAATACAATGAGAAATAACTAGGAACTAATGAGTGAACACAGAGAAAAACGAGTTTAGCCTTGTGGTAAGAGCGTCTGCTGGAAAGAGTCGGCCAGTGCAGCTGCTCTTTTGCTTCAGATGAGCAAGAGCAAAGTGTGATAATCCGTGCAGTTCTATTCTATAGGCGCTGTAGGCGATCTATATCTTTCTGTAGAAGGTTACTCCAGGCAATGTCACAGTAATCAAATAATGGAAGAATTAACGCTTTGTGAACAAGTGTTTCTGCCTCTTTTGTGACGAAACTTCTAACACGGCCCAGGATACTAACTCTTGACGCCACCTTTTTACACACATAGTCCGCGTGAGCCTTCCAAGTCATAAAGTTGTCGAACACCACGCCTAGGTATTTAAAAGTAGTTTCGCAAGATATGGACTTTCCGAGAAGATTAAGATTTAAAATGCAATCGCGCTCTTTAAGCCTTTGAGATGTAAATAGTGCACACTTAGTTTTTGAAACATTGAGAACAAGATTATTGTCTTCTAGCCATTCAGATACACACTGAAGATCTTGGTTACTGTACAAAAATAAACTGTGTACAGTTGGACCAGCAAGATATAAAACTGTCGTCAACGTACATATTTACAAAACAGTCTTTGACACAACGTGGTAGGTCATTAATGTAGACAATGAATAAAAGGGGTCCGAGAATGGATCCCTGCGGAACAGAGGGGCATTCTGTCTGCGCATGTGCAGTACAAAGAGGCTTTTATAAGTAGCCGCTGAAACGCGCCCACACGTGGCGCGCGCGCGTCCGCTTCCCGCTCTTTCTGAGCAAAACCAAAACAAAAAATATTAAATGCAAAATGGCCGTGTACGCAGGTCGGTTTGTCTTTTTAGCGTGTGTCTTGTTCTGTATTTTAAACGAAAGTGAAAGCAAAGAAAGGTCGAAGAATGGTTGTGTTGTGTGTGGCAAGAAGTCACAAGGAAGCCCTTTCAGACAGGTTGAGAAAAGCGAGGAGTTGGTAGCCTGCGAGCAAGCTCTCCTATTTGGGCGAGTGAAACGAGTCTCGCGAGAACGCGCGAGCGAGCGGCGAAGCCGCGAGGGGCAGAG